CCATACACAAGCAGAAAAAACGATTTCAGAGTTGGAAGGAACTTCAGTGGTCATCCTGTCCAGTGGTGTCAAACTGAGTTCCTTGCCAGCCCATATTTATCTAGGTTGTATGGTATTTTTATTTATTTTGTTAAATATTTCCCAATGATAGTTTAATATGAGTCAGCTAGCCCTGTAGGCTATGAGTCTGACACCTCTGCTTAGCTTTATGTCTGTTGAATTTGTCCAGCTCTTGCATGATTGGAAACCTCACTAGACATAGCTGACAAAGGTCTGCTTGAAGACTTCCCAGGAGGAGAAGCCCATTGCCTCTCAAAGCAGACCATTACACCTTTAGATATCTGTGTTAGTATGTTTTTCCTGATGCTTAAAAAAATGATTATTTAAGACCAACAGACATCAAACCTATATGAATCTCCTTGTAACTTCTACCCATTAGTCTCAGTTCTGCCCTCTGGAGCCAAATAGAACAAATCTAATCTTTCCTCTATATGACAACCCTTCAAATACTTGAATTCAGCTATCTTGTCCCCCAACTCAGTCGTCTTCTCTTTAGGCTGAACATACTCAGTTTTTTTGATTGTTCCTCCTATGACATAGTCTCAAGGCCCTTCCCCATCCTGGTTGATCTCCTCTGAGCACACTTCAGCTTATTAATGTCCTTCTTAAACCATGGCACCCAGAACTGAACACAACATTCTCCATGAGGTCTGATGAGGGCACAGTACAACAGGGCTATCCTATCTCAGTTCCCAGAAACCACGCCCTTCTTAATGGAGTCCAAGATCATCTTACCATTTCTGGATTCCATATCTCACTGCTGACTCAAGTTGGGCTTGCAGCCCACTGAAACTACCAGATCTTTTTTTTTTTTTTAGAGCTGCTGCTATCTACACCCATGCCCCATACCCTTTGATTCACTATACTTGTGAAGTTGATTTTTTTTTGTACCTAAGTATGAGATTTTACATTTATCCTTACCAAGTTTCATCTAATTAGATTAAGTCCAATGGTATAACCTGTCTAGATACTGGCTGTCATCCATTGTGTGATTCTGGGAGAGGATCCTTCAAAAACTCAGTGGGAACATGGCCAGGACCACTATAGTTAGCAGCTGTGGATCTGATTTTCATGAGATGTTTATCAGAAGTCATCATTATCCCAATGGGGCCAATTTGGGAAAGCAATTTCCCCAAGAAAGGGGCTAGAATAGGCATTCTTAACCTGGAGTCTATGAATTTATTTGTTTAATATTTTGACAATTATATTTATTTAAAATTTAATATATTTTATTTCCCCCAATTACATGTTAAAACATTGATAACTATATTTAAATATAGTTGTCTTCCCTTATAATCCCATATATTTTATTTTGCATGCTTAAAAGAATTATTCTCAAAAGGAGATCATAAGCTTCTTCACACTGAAAAGGAGTTCCTGACACAAAGTGTTTAAGAGCCCATAGCCTGGAGATAACAAAACATGAAAGGGACAGAGGGTTCAGATATAGACTCACATAGAATCTCAGAATGGGGAGGGAGCTCAAAGTGTATCCAGATCAGTCTGTAACTGAACAACAATCCCTTTTATACCATCCTTGACAAGCGGTCATTCAGCCTCCTCTTGAAAATTAGCAGCGAGTGGCTCGACCACCAGAGGCAGCTTGTTCCACTTTTGGTCAACTCTACCCTAGAGGCAGCTAGATGGCACAGTGATTAGAGAACTGAACCTGGAATCAGGAAAACTTAAGTTCAAATCCAGCCTCAGGTAGTTACTAGCTGTGTAACCCTGGGCAAGTTACTTCACCTCTGTTTGCCTCAATTTCCTCACCTATAAAATAGGGATAATGGTAGCACCTTACTTCCCATGATTGTCATGAGGATAAAATGAGATAATATTTGTAAATTGCTTAGTACAGTGCCTGGAACATAGTAGGCATTTATTAAATGCTGGTTTACTTCCTTCCTTCTTTCCTTCCTTCCTTCCTTCCTTCCTCTACTTACAGAATCAGAGAATTTCAAAGTTGGAATGAATCTCAGTCCATTGGTTCATTGTACCCGTCTCCCCTTCCCTCCTCCCCACCCCAACCTGTGAGTGTACCACAATGCACCGTCCTGGGCCTTCTCTCTTTCAGAGTCTCGTTGATCCCCATTCTCTACGTAGATGAATCCCAGATCTACATAGCTAGACCTAATTTCTCTTCTGAGCTCCCACATTGCCCACTGTTTATTGACTATATATATATATATATATTATATACATGTATCATAGGCAGCTCAAACTCAACATGTCTTTCTCCCCAAATCCACCTCTCTCCCTAATTTCCCTGCTTCTATTGAGGACACAGTCATTCTTCCAGTCATCCAGGTTTATACCCTCCACCTCATAACTCAACTCTTTACTTTCTCTCACCTCGCCTCCCTTCCAGCCAATCAGTTACCAAGTCCTGTTGATTCCACCTCCATGACATCTCTTCCACCCATCCCTTCCATCCCCTTCTCCCCACCCACATGGTCACCATTTCTACTTCAGTTCTCATCACATCCCATCCGGACTACTGAAATAGCTTCCTAATTGGTCTCCTTGCTTTCAGTGTCTTCTCACCAGTCCACACAGCTGCCAAATTAATATTACTAAAATACAGGTCTGAACATGTTATTCCCCTGCTCAAAAAGTTCCAGCGACTCTCTACCCTCTCTAGGATAAAAGACAACCTCCTCTCATTGGCATTTAAAGTCCTTTGGAGTCTTTCTTCAGCTATTTTTCCAGGGTTTTTTTTTAACATGTCCTTCCCCATCACACACATTATGTTTCCCCCAAAAGTCTTCTTTTGACTGGTCGTACAGGAGGCTCTTTCCTGTCTCTGCACCTTTGAACAGTCTATTGCCCATCCTTGGAAAGTCCTCCTTCTTAATTCACCTGCCTAGTAATTCCCAGCTTCCTTTGAAGCTCAGCTCAAGTACCACCTCTTACATGAGCCTTTTCGTCATCCCACAAGAGGCTCCTGCCCTCCCAAATCACTTTGTATTTATTTCCCACATAGTTTGAACTTACTTGACGTGCACAAGTTACATCCCCCAATAGAATGTAAGCTCCTGGAGGGCAAGGACTGTTTTATTTCTGACTTTATATTTTCAGAACCTAGCACAATGCTTGGAGCACAGTGGGCTTGTGGATGGATCAAGCCGAATTGAAACTGAGATACATCAAGCATGACTTCCCTCTGGTCTACAAATTCATAAAATGTTAAAGCTGAAGGGGATCCCTGGAGACTATCTAGTCCAACCCAGTCATTTTGCAGATGACAATACTGAGGTAGAGCAAGTGACTCGTCTAAAATCACATAGCAAGAAAGTAATTGCAGCTAAAACACAAACTCACACATTATGACTTCAGGTTCAGTGCTCCCGCCATTGTCCCCCCCCGCCCCCACTTTGGTTCCCTCTGCTTCCCCTTCCCTGGGCGTCTCCCTATACTGGTCCTAGCACCAAATGGTGGCCAAGGGCCCTACACAGACATTGACTCACGCTCTTTGGGAAATGGCGGGGGTGGTGTGTTAAGTTGCTGTAGGGGAGGTACCGATCGTGGGCTTCAACCCTGGTCTCTTTATTCCCAGTTGCCTAAGCCTAGGAACTTCCTGCCTAAGTCCCTGTGTGCACAGAGCCTGGCTGGTCCTAGGTGATTAGTAGAAGGAAGAGCAGGGAGGACCACCCCAGGAGGGGATGAATCTCTAGCTGACAAAGAACAAGGCTAGAATACAAACAGAAGGAAGCAGGGAGATGCAAAAGCAAAGAGAATCAACCCAAATGAGAGTGGGGAAAAGGAGAAAGAGGGCAAATAACCCAGTGGTAAAAGATCTAACTTTTCTCTCTGAGTGAGGTAAAGTATGTTCTTAAGGAAACTCTCCTCTTGGCTGCCCAATCTGCTCTTTCAGGGTTATCTCCTATGCGTGTATACCCCAACTGGACTCCGTTGAGCCCTTCTCCCAGTTCCCCTACATTGCCAGCTCTGGAGCCATTTCCGGATGCAGACCTATTCCCATTTCTTAGATAGTAAAACTGAGACTCAGATGGGAATTCAGGCCAAAGCAAGGGAGAGATCTCAGGAGACATTTGCCTTGTTTTTCTAGGTTGGATCCAGTGGAGGGCTCACTCAAATCCCAGAGATGAGAATTTGTAGGGACAGATTGGGATTTGGCCACCCTAGCTATCACTTTGAGCAGACCCCACTCCCACCCCCAATTTCTGCTCTCTCCCATTCAAAATCTGCCTTTCAGCTGTCTAGATTGGAGGCTTCCTCAACCCTTAGAGAAGGTTGGCTTCCTGGGGAGGCAGAGAGCACTTATCACTCAGGGGCCCATAGGACTGGAGCTCCCACTAAGATAGCAAGTCAGGGAGGGAAGGCCCTTTTCAAGACTGCATTCACGGGGGCCTCAATGAGCCAGCCCCACAGCGAGTAGCAAAACCAGCACTGGTCACCCATGCAGCATGCATGGTCAGCATGCATACCACTCTTACCCCATTTCCCCCTTTCAGTGGCTGGAAACAAGACCAGGGTAGAAGGAGCCTCGGGTGGCCTAGTCCCTAACACCCTTTGTGACCAGAGCCTGGAGAGCAATTCTCCTCCACACTCTGAGACTGCCTTCTTGGACAAGATATTAGGCCCTCAGCGAGGCTTCCACAATTCAGGGTCAGTAACTGTCAAGGTATAAAGCAGACCAGCAGCAGCCCTAAGGTCTAGGGTTTGGGGGAAGAGGTCTGTCCCCTTCAAAGCTGTCCTCTCTGATTCCTGGCTTAAGTAGAGAGATTGTGTTAGGTGCCTTTGAATGCTTCCCTGGGCAAGGCTCTTTCCTCTGGGCTTTGCCTCCAGCCACTGAAAAGGTCAATTGTGATCCATGTTTTGGCACTAGGTCCTCCCTGGCCTCCCCCACCCCCGTTCAGCCTGGGCTCCTCCTGCACCACCCCATGCCATGCTGGTTACCTCCTTGGCTGGTACGATACCTGGGGTTGGAGTAGCTTCAGAAACAGCACCCAAGTTGGGGGGGGAGGAGAGAGAAAGGCAAGGGAAGGAAGAGAAAACAGAGGTACAGGTGAAATCACAGGACAAGCACATGGAGAAGGTCTGCATGGTGGGACTGAGGGAGGACACTGGTCTGTGGCCCCCTTTCCATTTCACCCATAGGCCACATCCACATCCAATACCAGCTAATACTTGGCAAATACTTCCAGGTCCCCCCCAGTCAGGTTGGAGGTTGCCCCAGCTCAGACATATTTGTACAGATTTCTTTCCTCCTGGGTTCTGGTGCCATTTCATGAATTAGATAGTCATCTTTGGAGGAGCTGAAGTGGGGTATTGGTCTGTTCCATTGCTCCCCCAGTCCTGGCTCATGTCGGATTCCTTTTCCCCTCTCAGCTGCATGCAGATCTTTGAGGTCAGAAAGTTACAAGGATGGATCAAGAAGCCTATCCCACTTCTTGTTCCTGTTGCCTATAAGAGTGTTGACCTGGTCAAGGTGGTTTGACTATGATTCAGTGGGCTGGAAAAACTCCATGATATTAGAGAGATGGAGAAACTCGCTTTAGGAATGGTTCTTACTACACTAAATGGAATAAATTGAGTTTTTTTGGCAGGGAAGGGAGTACAGCTAGCTTAGGCCACTCTCAGCTCATCGCTGGGTAGAATAGAAATGCTAAAAGTGGCTCTGGAGCTCCTTTGCTTGTCTTCTGCCACTGGGTTTTTCCTTAAACCCATTAGATTGAGGGCCCTAAGTTACAACTCAGGATTCATGGCAAAAACCCAAGCCTGAGAGAAGGTCTTGCTTTGTCCTCTTGTCCCCTAGGGCTGCTGAACTTTTTTTTTGCTAGTCACTGGGTTTTGACAATGGGGTTTTATCTGCTTTTCTGCATCTAATCTGGAGGGCAGGAGGAGGAGAAGTGTTTCTCTCCTGGGTCCTTCTCTGATGTGGGCAATCAAGGCTGCATGCAGTCTCCACCTCCCCCCAGGAAATGTGCCTGCCAATGCTCAGGGGTGGAGTGACCAAGCCTTCTGTTGATCACTCTCTCTAGTTTACAAGACCAGAGAGAGTGTTCCATCAACAACCTGTTTCCAAGTCAGCTGTGTCCTCTGTCTACCTCATCCCCTGCCACTGCCCCAGAATTGCACTGTTAGGCAAAGATAAAGAGGGAAAGATGCAGACATATGGGGCCAGGTCAGTAGGAGCCAAAAAGCTCTTTTGGGGTGGGGATGAAGGTGGGTTCCAAGGAGTCCCTTAAGCCAGATCTGTGGGGTCTGGTTAAGTCCTAGGACAGTGATCAGGGAGGCTGGAAGCTTCCTGGAGCTTCTGTGGCAGACCTGGGATACTGGTCTCTGGAAGTGCAGAGGATTCTCCTCTATAGACTGGATTTGACAATTCCGTGGCTTCAAGAGCCTCCCATCTCCCCTATTTCTCCCCTGGATAAGCCCCTTTCACCAGGGAGAGTGGCGACTCTGAGGCTGAAGTGCTATGTGGAGAGCTAAGCAACAGCTGCCTCTAGTGAATTTTCCCTGAAGACACAGCTTGGTTCTTGGGGCCCCAGGTGGTGTTCAGCCAAGCTCATCCTGCAGGGCAATGAAACCAACGCTAGTACCTTGAGCTACTAAATGATTTGGGCTCTAAGGGAAGCTAGCTTGGGGATGCCCATCCCCCCAGCCCACTTCCTCCTATGCTTTCTTTGCTCATTAGGATGTGAGCCCTTGCCTTTCTTTGTCTCCCCAGGGCTTAGCACACTACCTGAGACATAGTTTGCATTTAATAAATGCTTGTGGACTAACCACTCTCTCTTAGGGTTGCAGGGCTGCCTACATCCATTTCTTCCTGAAGAATATCTACAAAAGGAGACCTGCAGCCTAGACCTTCAATCTGAGCCCATCCCTGCTTCTTGTCCATTCCATTCCAAGGACTGCCAGAACAAGGCCAGAGTTGATCCTGGCCAGGCATTGGCCTCTATGAAGAAATCTCTGAGCCCCAGGGTCCTCATGAATATTATTATCACTATTGTTACATTCTTAGGTGATTGAGTACACATATTACCCATAGCATTCCTGTAATACATTTACTTCCAAAGCATCTTCCCTTATATATCAATGCATTTCATCCTCCTGATATCCCTATGAGAGAAAACAGTCATTAAATGACTCTTCTAAAGACTCAAGTCAGGACCAGAGTCATTCCAGAGTCTAGGTAGCCCAACTCAGGCCCAGTGTGGAGCTCTTTCTAACAGGCTGAGCATATATAAGCTCTCCAGTTTGGAAGAAGCCAAGGATGTAGCAGAGATGCTACATGTGGGACGTAGGAGAAAAAGATGCTTTGATGCGTATCTTTGGACAACTGATTAAATCAGGACCATTAGTTTCTGGTTCGAACTGCACCGTCCCCACCATATGCTCATTCAAATACAAGTTGGCTCACCATACCTACCTTCATTTGGTGGAGCTGGTGACTCCTCCGTGACCACTTCCCCGGGACCCACTTGGGTCCTGGCACTGAGTGAGAAGCGGTATCGGGATATAGGGTCAGCTCTCTGTATTGAGAACTTAGTCTGATTGGGAGAGAAGGTCTCAACCACAGCCTTCCCTGTCTTGGTTCCATTAACTGGAGAGAGAAAACAAAGAAGAGTCTTTCTTACTTTAAGGGTCCTTTAACTCTGGAAAAGGAAGCTGTGGAATCTGCCAAGTGACCATGGAGACTAGAGGGACTGGCCAGCTTAGAGGCAATTGGGTTTGAATGCAGGGGCTCAAATAGAATGATATCTTGAGTTCTCTTTCAGGATTATGAAGCCATGCAGTTCCTATTTTCACCCTGCTACCATCATCCCTAGCTCAATGACAAATTAAGTAAATCACTGCTATTTAGACCAAGTCTGAAAGGCTCAGTTTGTAATCTTAAAGTCTCTCTGTGCATTTAAGCATTGTAGAAGACACATCTAAGCTCTGAATATATCTTTTTCTTAAAAAAAAACCCAAACAAACCAAAACAAAACCTAGTGCAAAGTCACTGGGCTTGATTTCAATGATTACTGGCTTCTTTCTTAAAGGGTCCATTCAACATACTTCAAAGGATGCAGGGGTCAGGCTTCAAGTCCCATTCTGAACAGTACAAAAAAGTCCACTGTTAGATAACTGTAATGCTCAACAACAAAGTAACGAACACTTTAAGCCTCCTGAAGAGCTATTGTACCACCTATTTTTAGTTCTTAGAATCTCTGCAGACCTTCAAAAATAATGAACACTCCTCTGATGCTTTGGGACCCCAGGGATAAACCTCAGGGAGGAAGTGAGGTAACTGCTATTGAGGTGGAGAGAGGCTAACCTCTGACTCCTCATTCCACATTTCCTTAGCACCTGGGTTCAGTTCAGTTCGCTCTGCTATGATCTCTCTCTCTCTGTCCCCATCCTCCTTCCCTCTCCTCCTCCTTTCTCACCCCTCTGTCTTTCTCTCCTCTCTTTTTCTCTCCCTCCCTTCCCCTTCTCTCTTGTCTTTTTCCCTCCATCCCCATCCTCCTTCCCTCCCTTCTCTTTCTCCTCCTCCCCCTCTGTCTTTCTCTCCTCCTCCTCCTCTCTCTCTCCCTCCCTCTCTCTCCCTGTCCTCCCTTTCTCTCCTCTCTCCTTCACCCCCCTCCATTTGTTTGTATGTTCTTTGAAAGTCCCTGGGTCTTGGAAGCCTGGGTCCTTTTGCCTGGATCTAATGTATGTTCCTATGTCTCTCATCCCATCAGCCTGGGAATGTGTCCCAGGTCAAGCACTATTTCTAGACTGGGAGTTTCTTGTGGGCAAGGACTGTTTCTTCCATCAGACTTTGAGTCCTGTAAGGGCAGGAAGTGAGTATCTTTCTTTTAAATCAAAGAAGAAAATCTATCACAAAGAGGTTGCTTAGTACAAGGGGTTTAGTTTGGTTCCCTGGCTGAGTGGTTAGAATGGAGTTTGTCTTTCCCAGATAAGGAAAAAGTATGGGGAGGATGAACCATACATACAGGCAAGGTATCTAAGATTGTATCCTGTCAGGATCCCATTGGGGTGTTCTGGGTGATCCCATTCCAAGTTGATTGTCTCCAGGTTGGGCTGCCGGACTCGGAAACGTCTGGGGGCACTGGGTACTTGGGGAAGGAGGAGAGAGCAAGGGAGAGGAGTGGAGGGGCAGGAGGGCAAAGGGAAAGACAGGAAAAACAAAACACAAGCATGAAGGTAACCAAATTTGCTCAGCTACTAGATCAATATATGTTGGATGAATATACTGTACACAGGAAGAATTAAAAACTAGAGGACCATGAGTTGGAGTCCACTGCTCCAGGCTTGGGAGTGGTGGTCTGGGAAACATATGACTTCAGATCTTTGCCACTGAGCTCAGAGATGCTTAAGAATCAGTAACCAACTTGCAATCAATTAAATGAGGACTGAGTGCCCACCATGCCCCTAGCAGAATGCTAAGCTCTAACCCTTACCAGAGGATTCTTTTGAAGTTGAGCAGGGCTGCTCCTTTGAGGAAAGCTAATATTTTAGCAATTTTGTGTGGATTTACAGGGTGGGGTTCTGTCACTGGACAGAAACATGGGATGAGGTTACTGGGAGGAAAGAAGCTGATGGTAGGCTTCTCTCGAGACTGAGAGGAGAAAGGGATTGAAGACAGACATACCCAAGATGGGAGAAAGAAAGGAAGGAGAAAAGGAAGAGAGGAGAAGAGGGAAAAAAAGGGAAAAAGAAAAGAGAAAGGAGGGAAAAATCAGGAAAGTGGAGATAATGGAAAGAAAACAATAGGAAAAAAAAAAGAGGTGAGAAATGAATGACTATGATCATGCTCCCAGGTGAATTCTAGCCTCCTAAATAAAGCTGGTTCCATTAGCTAATAGGTTCAGTCTGGAGCATAGCATGATATGATAGGATATACTATAATATAATATTATATGATGTGATATGATATAATATAATAATATAATATGATATAATGTCAAGGGATCTGGGTTTAAATTCCAGCTCTACCACTTGTTACCAAATTATTTCCTTGTGCTTTAGGTTCATCACCCACCCATAAAATGGAGATATGGTAGACACTATCTTCCTCAGAAAGATGCTTCTGAAGATCAATGAAATAACATAAATATTGCCTTGTAAGCACAGTGTTAACATAAACATCAGCAATGTTTTCATTCTCGTTCTAACAAGAGTTTGCTATGTGACTGATGCTGGACAAATCAGCTTACCCTCTCTGGGCATTGGTTTCTTAATCTACAAAATGAGGGCACTGGACAAGTGACTCCTAAGATTCTTTCCAGCTCTAATATGTTGTATCTTGCTATACGGTCCCTGTGCGGGGGAACACAAATTAAAGGCTTTCTGGTGATGAGAGACAGGTCAGAAGATTGTGTTCTTATGATACTGACAAAGCTGTTGCATCTTTTTTGAATTGGGGTCCCTCAGGGACTCGGGGCTGAATGAGCTGTTTGTCTCTAGTCATGGAGAGCTTGGGAGCCAGTCAGGGATCTAGGTGGTCCCCTTGGGAGTCAGTCTGTAACATCAGATCTGGAATCATCCCATCCAGTCCCGAACAGCTTTCCTCTCTATGACTTTTCTGCTGGAGGTCACTCAGACTATGAAGCCAGTCAAGGAGAATCCAGAGGGTCCAGGGTTCCCCCAAGGTCATGTGGATATCGACTTGCATCATCCTGTGCCAGCTGACATGGAAGCAATACCAACTTGACCAGGGTTGGTCAGGGTGGCAGCCCTGATGTTGCCCGATGGGTATTGCCATGAAGACCTACCTCCTTCAGGGGTGGTGAATTCCTTGACTTCACTGCGAGGCCCATCACCTCTCCCATTGACCACAACCATCTCCAGTTTGTAGTTGCTGTAGGGAAACAGGCTTGACACTACACCCCGGGTTCGGTCGCTGGAGAAACTGGCAAATTGTCTCTTTTGAGACACCCACAGGCCCTTCAACAAGCTGCTCTCCCTCCAGAAATATGCCTTGGGGACAAAGGCAGACCAGTGAGAGGCCTGCCAGCCCAGGCACCTGGTTAGTTGTTAGTGGTTGGTGGTGACTGGCCTTTCTTTGGCTCGTAATTTTCTCCAAATCCCAGAGGAGCATCGGACTTCAGCATGGCCTCAGCACCCCAAGTTGAGGTTGGTGGTGCAGCCTTGAAAAGGCTGAGGTGAGGACCAATTTATGGCAGATAAGTGAAATAGCTTGTTGGTCTCATTCATTTTCTGATCCGTGTCACCTCCCAGGGGGTGATGGGTCGGCAGAATGGCTAAATGCGTGTCTGCGATGGTTCACCCTGGGGACTTATTTACAAGGCTCTATTAAGCTTTGCTCAGTGAGTCAGCTTATAAAGTCACAAATAAAATCCAGGAGTCCAGGGCAGAAAGAACTCTGCTTTGTGCTCAAAGACCACACCACCTCAGACTAGATTAGTAGGTTTTAGACAAGAAACATGTGAAGAATTTTAGGTAACACTGAAAATCTGAATTTAGGAAGATGCTAGTCTAATCCCTTGACACCAAATGGTTTTTTATCCAAACCCTTGGGTGATCTTTAGGAATAGGCTGAACAACCACCTATCTGGGATAGGTAAGATAATATTCTGTCTAGAGACAGGGGGCTGGACAGGATGACCTCAGAAAGGTCATCAAACCGAGGCCGAATTTGCCTTTATTGGGGGCATTGCAGATATATCAGGCATGAGATTTAATTGAATGACCTCCTAAGGTTCCTTCCAACTCTTGGATCCTGTACCAGCAATATTGTAACAGGGGAAAGTGAAAATTCACGGATTTGTTGCAAATGGTTAAATGAAGGTGGTGATCCCCACTCCCTGTCCCCATTCCTTGCCTGCCCTCCTTCCCACCTTGCCAGTGTTTTTTGGAATGCCAAGGCTCATTAGGGAGCAAGTTCAGGCTTAGGTGGGAAAGAGGCCAGAGTTAGGGTGCATTTAGTACCCTCTAAGCTCTGGGCAGAAAATCTCCCATGGAAGTGGGTTGTGTGAGTATATGAGCAAACAAGCTTTGAGTTAAGAATTTATCTCCTGGTCTTTCCTTCCCCTACTTACCTCCTTCGTTTCCCAGGAATGGGTACCCCTTCATTCCTTCCCTGACCTGCCCAACAGCCAACTCTGAATGATCACTGGTCACCAATCAGGCAGTAAGAAGCCAAAGATGGCCTCCACTGTTTTAGTTATAAACCTCCTCCACCCCATGCCCACCCCTACTTTTACTTGACCTACACAAGAGGAACCTTGGGATTGACTAATTTGAGAGTCTCTCCCTCTTCCCCTTTCTTCCCCATCCTTCAGAAGCAATGGCTAATGAGCAGAGATGTTGCAAGAGAAGTCTTGGACCTGCATAACACACACTCCAGCCAGTCAGTCCCTGGATAATTGAGAGTTGGCTGTGACCATACCAAGGAGTCGGAGACCTCTTAGCTGCATTTTCAGTTAGTTTAGGATTTAAAAACATTTACTTGGGGGGAGGGACAGAGGTGAGGGAGGGTAGTCCAGCAGCAACTAAAGAGATAGGGTGAGGAGTACATCAGAAGAGGCATAGCATCACCTTCACATCCATATGCGGGCTCACACATATCTTGTGTGTGATATGTGATGACCTCTGCTATGCCAGTCCAGACCTACTCTCCATCATTTGTGGCCCTCTGCTGGGCAAATGCATCCCTCATCAGAAGCCTTAAAGGAGACTGGTGATGACCTGGATAGTTCTTTGAAAAAAGAATTCCAGGTACCCACGTTTTCTAAGATTAGCTCTCCCAGCCGGGTTGACAAACCTGCCCACCCCATCCAGAATTAGTGTACCAGCCACCTGCTGCCCCCAGCCCCTGGTTAGTCGGCTGGGCAGTTAGGCACGGCCAGGAGGCTGGCTTGCTCACTCGATACTCTCTAAGCTGACCCTGGACCGTGTCCGGGTAGACCCGGTTCCACTGAAGGCCGATGGCTGTGCTGTTCAGGACCCGAACTTTTACATCAGTGGGCGCAGCCCTGGGATCTGAAATGTGGGGGAAGACAGATGAGGCCTTGGTTATGCAGGTGGAGTCCCAGTGTGGCCCCCTGAGATCCTTTCCACAGCTACTCCCCACAAGCCCCAGGAAACTTTGGAAGAGAGTCCGGATAGCAGAGAGCATGTGACCCCAATCAAACTAGGAGGTCACCAAGGGCAGGGAGTATCTCTTCTTTTTCCAGGCTTCTTCTCCAGTACCCATCCCTGGTGCCTAGATGTAGTGAACTTCAGGGTGTATGTGTGTGTGTGTGTGTGTGTGTGTGTGTGTGCGCGCGCGCGTGTGTGTGTGTGTGTGTGCATGTGTGTGTGTGCGTGTGTGTGTGTGTGAAAGCTTTCTAAGAGAAGAGCTTCCTCCTACTGGATGGGGATTTTCTTCTTACCTTTCCCCTATTGTCTATAGCCTTCAAACATCTCATTGTGGCCCGAGCTAGTGGACTGATCTTCAGTGACTATCCTGGAAAGGAACCCATAACTCCCATCCCCTCGGCTGGAGACAATGGCCTTGGAGGGTCTCCATCCTCCTGGTAAGCAGGTTGAGCTACTCCCACTGTGCTCCAGATGGCTATCTCTGCCTCATCTCCCCTTCTACTCTACCAAAGGAGTAGAAACAAGCATGAACAGAGGTCCTGGTGGGCAACAGGGACGTGGATCTATGTCTTTCTACCTGGAAACTGTTTGCCAAGAAAGCAGGGAAGAGCAGAATGGACCTATATCCTATTGGTATCCTCTATTTATGTCCCTAGACAGCCACTGAAAGCTCAATCCTGAGTCAAGCATTTCCATGAAGCGCAGGCCTCTCCTCCATTCCATTTTGTCAGCATGGACACAGCTGCTCTCATCCCAATAGTACCCCCTCCCAGACCAGACCTAGTCCCAACCAAAGAGAGATGAATCACCCCAGCTGACTTCACCCTCCTGTGATAGGGTGGTGTTGGTCAAAGCTCTTCTGGATGCCAGACGACATTCTAGAGACCTTAGTGATTCACCACCTCAAACACTGGGGTCAATTCATTAAGAGACCAACAAGTCATCTTGGGGCGGAGAGTTCAGGGGCACATAGGCAAACACATGAGTGCTCAGTTCCTACTGTTTTCCCTGCAGATCATCAGTAAGACCTGTGTGGACCCTAGCTTGGCATTAGCTCTCAAATGCCTCTGCCCTCATCTCTCCTTTTATGTTGAAGGCTCATGGCTTGAAGTGATAGTGGGGTACATATAGGTACCAGGACCCATGGCTAGAAGCAAGACTGGCCACCACTCTCTTTTGTTACCTTCATTTGGGTCTCTATGGCTAGTGCTCTGAGGGCGTCTCCTATAACCCATGGCTTTCCCGTGGGGACCAGCAGGCAAGGTGTGAGGGCCTTTGGTAGAAACAGCACTTGATGGAAGCGCTATGGTACTAAATACTTGGTAATACTAAGCACTTGGTAGGGCACTTGACAGAAGGAGAGAGAAGAGAGTACTCACAATCTTCCCCAGAGTAGCCAATGACGGTGTCTGGCTCGGGTCCCTTCCCAAAATCATTCTCCGCCTGCACTCGGATCTCATAAGGCACGTAGACAGGGGTCTGCACCACGGTATATCGGGAGGCCCACACCGTGGCATTGTTCCAGCTCTCCCTTCCTTCCCGCCGCCGCCATTTTACAATATAGCGGAGGTTGGGTCCGAATGCAGATGTGGCGTTCATGGGCTGAGCAAGAAAGAAACAGACCAGACAGAAAGGGATAGGGAGGAATCTGGTCACACAACTACTCTCTGTCCTTCTGCCTGTGGCCAATTCTCTTCCCTCCCCAAGCCCCTGACTTATAAAGTAAGGCAGGAGCCAGAGGCCCCTTCCCTCAGTGAAAGCTGAGAATACAACATGGACCTTAGCTAGCATTCATCTCAACATGAGAGATAAGATCATGTAGTGGTTAGAAAACTGGCTTGGGGTCAGGAAGACCTGGGTTCAGATCCTGCCTCTGACCTCTCTAGGGAGGTGGGACCCTGGGAAAGTCACTTAACTTCTCAGTGCCCTAGACAAGTATCTAATAATCTAATTTGCAGACAAGGTACGGATCCCCATTGGCAACGGGAGTTTCTTGATTTGGACATTCTCTAATCCATGAAAGCCCAGCTTGAAGCCCTATTCCTATGTAGGGGCAGTTAGGTGGTGCAGTGGGTCTGGAGTCAGGAAGACTTGAGTTCAAATTCAGCCTTAGATACCTATTAGTTATGTGATTCTGGGCAAGTCACTTAGCCTCTGTTTGCCTGTTTCCTCATCTGTAAAATGAGGATGATAACAACACTTACCTCAAAGGGTTGTTGTGAGGATTAAATGAGATAATAATCATAAAGAACTTAGCATAGTACCTGGCACATAGTCAGCACTATATGAGTATTAGTTACTGTTAGCTGTTATATGTAGAACCAAGACCTAATTATCCACTAGTGGCTTATCTGTGGCAAAATTTTAATATAAGTCCAGCCTTCCTTTGCCACCAAGGATGCTTTCTGTTTGTGCTTAAGAAATGTAAACATGTTTTTAACAGGAGTCAAAGCAAATCTGACTTTAACAAGCAATATGGGCGGCTAGGTGGGGCAGTGGATAGAGTGCCAGGCCTAGAGTCAGGAAGACTCATCTTCCTGGGTTCGAATCTGGTCTCAGATACTAGCTGTGTGATCCTGGGCAAGTCACTTAACCCTATTTGCCTCAGTTTCCTCATCTATAAAATGGGGCTGGAGAAGGAAATAGCAAACCACTCCAGAATCTTTGCCAAGAAAACCCCAAATGGGGTCACTTAGAGTCGAACATGAATGAAACAACTGAACAACAACATCGGGGAGCACAATGAACTGTAGATTTGGAGCAGATGATCAGGGTTCCAGGCCTGACTTTCATTTACTGGCTGTGTGATGGGAGATAAGTCACTTAACCTCTCTGAGAAACAGTCTCCTCTTCTGCAAAATGAGAATAAGATTTGAGCTAACTGCCTCTCGGGCGTGTCTCAAGCGTCCAATGAGATGATGTGGGTAAAATGCTTTGTAGCCATCTGGGAAGGATCTGGACCAGGGGTTTCATTGGTTTATAGAGAGTCTCTGATGAAGAAACACCCTTTATCCATGTAGATCAGCATCTCACAGTCTTAGAGAGTTGCTTGGGGGCACTGAGAGGTTCAGCGAGTTGACTCGGAGTTGAGTGTTAGAAGAGGGACATGAATCGGGTCTTCTTGACTTGGAGGCTTGCCTCTCCATGCGGTCCTATCTAGATGTCATCTTTTAATAATAGTAACACAACTGTGTAGCACTAAAAGGCCTGTCTCATCAGTCCTGTGAGGCTCGGAGTATCAAGGTGATCCTTATTTTACAGATGAGGAAACTGAGGCTCAAAGAGGTTATATGACTTGCTCATGGAGAAATAGCTAGTACAAATGTTGGAGACAGTCTTCAAAACTGATTTTCCTGCCTCTAAATCCAGCACTAAGATTTTACCATGCTGCACTGCTTTTTACTATGCCTACATCTAAGATGTTATTAGGACTATGATAAAGAAAGCACACCTGCTACTCCCAAAAGCAAAACATGCACTCAAAGACCAAAGAATAGAAGACTCTGGATTATCTGCTGTTTTGATTTAACCATGCTATTTTGTTGTGGTTCAGCTGTTTCAGTCATATCCCACACTTCATAACTGCATTTGGGGTTTTCTTGGCAAAGATAATAGACTCATTTGTCATTTTCCTCTCCAGTTCATTTTACAGATGAGGAAATTGAAGCAAACAGAGTGAAGTGACTTGTCCAGGTAGGTCGTCACACAGCTACTGAGTGTCTGAAGCTGAATTTGAACTCAGGTCTTCCTGACTTCAGGCCTGGAGCTCTACCCACTGCACCATCTCCCTGCCCTATGATTGCCCTCCATTAGCACAGATAACTGATAAGGACACATTTCTCTTGGTTTCTGTTGTGTCTTCCTGGCCATCCCCTTGACCTGCTTCCTATACTCTAGCCATTATCCTCATTCCCCCATATCCCACTTTCCCTACACACAACCTTGAACTCTGGTCCTGGGTCCCCTGGCTCTAAGAGGTGATCTTCCATTTTGTTTTGTTGGGAATCAGGCCTCCCCACCACATATCTATACTGTATCTCAGCACACACATCCACTTCCTTCCACTTTTCCTGATTTCCTTTACATATTGTCCTTCTTCATTAGAATGTAAGCTTCTTGAGAGCACAGATGGTCTTGTTTGCTTGTTTTCTTAGTGCTTAGCCCAGTGCCTGGCATGTAGTAAGTGCTTAATAAATGCTGTGTGTGTGTGTGTGTGTGTGTGTGTGTGTGTGTGTGTGTGCCTGTTTTATTTCCCTGCAAAAGTTATCAGCTCCTGGAAAACAAGGACTCATTCTTTATTCTGTATTCCAAAGTCTGGGCCTTGCCTCTTGGGGTAAGGCTGACAATAAAGATTCAGAGGACAAATTATCCTTTTTGGGACCTTAGAGAGTAGGCTACAGGCCTCTTGAATATGTATTTTTTGAGAGCCCCTTATCCTACACATGACCCATGGGAACCGAATGTTGAAAGTGATACCAAACACAAGAGGATGGGATTTTGTGATACCAGACTTGGAAGGAAACTTATAAGGTTATCTAGGTTACTTCCTGCCTCTGGGCAGGACTCTTTTGAAACCATCCCAAAGAATTGCTTCTATTTTGTTCCCAAAATTTTTCCAGAAAAAATACTCCAGGCGTGCTGGGGAAATATGCCCAGTGTCATATTCCAACCAAATTCAGGACGTCGTTCTTAATGTCTAACCTGAATCCCTCCTGGTCCAGTAGAAGACGATTCCCTTGTATCTTACTTGGTGGAGTTCTTCTTGGCCAATAATAACCAGACGGTGCAAAGTCCTTTGTCCCTTTTTCCTTTCCCTTACTGTTAACTGTGTTTCCTCTCTGAAATCTCACTCTCTGCTTCTTCTCTTGCTCACTTTGTAAGATGCCCTATATGGAGAGAAGCTAATGGTCTCTGGAGAGGGGCTTATGGTCTGGACTACATTGGGCCTGGGCAAGCATCACCAGAAGGGGAAGAATATGGGAAGGGGTGCAATGAAAAGAGAATCTTACCGTCCATGTGATTTCCATGTTGTTCTTTCTGGACCCCGCTCCCTTCACATCACCTGGGTTGGACTCTGGGGCTGCAACCCAAGTGGACACATTTTATATCTAATGAATACCTCTCTCACTGTCATCCAAGTCAAAACTCACTTCTTCCAGGCAAGTTCCCTAGATTGTTCTCATAAATGATTATTTCTGTTTTTCTTCCTCACAGATGCCCTGCCTTCCTGTGCATGGGTTCATTTACAAAGCAACATCTGAACCCATGCACGTGTTTTGTTTCCCTAACTAGAACTGGCTCTAGACAGGGGCTGGGTCATCACTGTCCATCTTTTTCTTTTGCAGTCCTTCACTTTAAAGACCGCAGGTGTGCACACTGTGGGGTATGCTCTATTCACTGTACAGTCAACTCTCCAATGTCCACTTAGGGTTATCCACCCTTCTGCTTTCTCTATTGGAAATGTTTAAGTGCAGGCTGGCTTCTCCCTGACACCTGTGATGTTCTTGAGATATTTCCTCCTTCACTCCCACTGAAGGTGGTTTGAATTCAGGAAATTCAAATTCAAGGAAGCAAAGTATTTAGAAGACATGGTGCTTGGTATAATGCCTGGCACACAGTAGGTGCTCAATAAATGTTGATTGATTGTTATCCGAAATAATTTAAATAACTTATGTATAGTACCACCAATCATCTGATAATAGGATTTAGAGGTCTTCTAATCTTTAAGTGTGGCCTTTTGACTGAATCCAAGTTTAAATTTGATTGTAAAATTTGGATTCAGTCAAAAGGCCGCACTTAAGAATTTAGAAGGCCACATGTGGCCTTAAGGCTGCAGGTTCCCCAACCCTGGGCTAGCTCAATCCTCTCATTTACAGAGGCCTAGTCACCATTTGCTCAAAGTCACAGAGCTAATAAGTAGTTGGCATGTTGGGTTCAGGGAATTCTAAATTCAGTGCTCTTTCCATCCCACAGTGGGCCCCACTTCCACTCCCACTTAACATGATGAATCTTTCTCCTCCCTTCCTCCCCCATCCCCAACAGAATGTCTTGATCTGATCATTGTCTGCCCAAAGGCAGGGATATAGAATGCCCTGTAATATGCCAGGTGCTGAGGATGGCCACAAGCCTGGAGCTAGGTGAGGTAGAGGAAAGGAATGACTGGTCTCCACTCAGACCCAGCCAGTTTATAATCAAATATACCTTGTGAATTATCTGCACCATTTTACATTCATGCAGATAATTAACTGTGCACACTGCTGCCCTGCAAAAATCTGACCTTTGCACTGTGCCCCCTCAGCTATTAGGGTTCTGTTGGGCTGGGACAGGGAAGGTGAACTCCAAGCACTCACGTGCACCACTGGTCCTGTAGCGCTCAGATGGTTGGCTAGGATGACTGCTTCCAACATCATTGACGGCAATGACCCGGAACTGGTAGTTGACATAGGGGGACAACTGGAGAACTGCTGAATTGACGCTGCCTGGGTGTTTGGAATGGCTGTGCCAGACACCGGGCTGGAACTGGTCCTCTTCAAACTGGACAATGTACTCTGAGTGGGGAACAGTGGAGCAGGGGGGCTGAACCAGAGCTCCTCCTCTCCAAGGACTCTCTCCTCTTCCACCCACTTATCACATCCCCAAGGGAACAAGAGTGGGCAGGAAGGGCTGTTCCCAAGATAGAGAGGGAGAGACTGAGGCTCGGTTATGTTAATCACAGAGTGATTAGTATCTAAGAGTGGGAAGGAGCCTTTGAGTTCACCTCATCCAACCCAGACCTGAATGGGAATTCTTCTTACAATAGCCCCATCAAGGGAGCTGTCCAAAGGTGGACTGATCAGCTCCAGGTAGGTACTGGGTTCTTTATCAATGGAGAGCATTAAAGAGAGTTGGCGTGCCCACTTGGCATGTTAATGAAGGTACTCCTGTTCACTTATCCGTCAGACTAGATAACTCCCGAGGATCCTTCCCACTCTGAGATTCTGGCTACCCAAACTCACTTAAAAACCTCTAGTGATGGAAGTGGCCCATTCTGATTCTAGATAGTGCTAATCATTAGGGAGTTTTCCTTATATCAAATAAAAATACGCCTCTCTGCAACCTCCATACATTGTTCCTAGTTCCATCCTTTGGGGCCAAGAAAAACAATTCTAACCTCTCTTCCACATGTTTTTGTAGTTGTTCAATTGCAACTGACTGACCCCATTTGGGCTTTTCTTGTAACTGACATAACCCCAATTTGGGGTTTCCTTGACAAAGATACTGAAGTAGTTTACCATTTCCTTCTCCAGCTCATTTTACAGATGAAGAAACTGAGGCAAACAGGGTTAAGTGACTTGCCCAGGGTCACACAGCTAGCAAGTATCTCAGGCTGGATTTGAACTCAGAAAGATGAGTCTTCCTGACTCTACTGTGCCACCTAGTGATCCTCTTCAACTTGACATCTTTTCAAAACATTGACAGTAATTATGTGCCTCAGTCTTCTCTTCTCTAATTAAATAGCCTTCTTTGCTTCAGCTGTTCCTCATATGGCATGGCTTCTAGTTCCATATCTCAAGATTACTTACTTAGACATCTCTCAAATCACAAGAGTTTTCCAGCATATGCCACTGGTTTTCAAAATTTCTGGTGTCAGTACCCCTTGACACTTAAAAATTATTGAGGACGCCAAAGAGTTTTTGTTTATGTGGGTTATATCTATTGATATTTACCTTACTAGAAATAAAAAAAACCTTTGTATTATTATGAAAAAAAAATGTTGTCCTGCAGACTCCCTGAAAGGCTACTGGGGACGCCCAGGGGTCCACAGACCACACTTTGAGAACTGCTGCTCTAGGAGGTGGACCAGTCCATTCAGTTCTGCCACTGAACTGCCTCAGAGTCACAGAACCCCTGGAATGTTCTGTTACCGGCAGACCTGGGGCGGAATATCCTGTTTGCTGGATTTTGCTGGAAGACTCTTATGGTTTGGAAGAGGTCTGAGTAAGGAACTGAATAAGGAAAAGATGTGATGGATCCTAAAAAAACTTCATTCATAATAAATGCTTTCATCTGTCATTTCTGAATAACTCAAGGGCTCCACATAGGTGTGGCAGCTATTCCTTACAGATAGAAATGGAAAACAATTGCTCTCAATGCACTACTGGGGAAACAGACCTACAGAGGTACTGTGATTTTCCTGGGTTCATGAAGCAAGGGAGAGGCTGGACTGGTATTGGAAGCCCAACACCCAAGCGGCTAGTGCCCTTCTGTGCACTGACCTGTGATGGGGCTATTGTTGTCATCCCCAGGGATCCAGGTCAGTCTCACACTCCTCTCCTCCAGGTCAGTCAGCTCCAGATCTCGAGGAGGATCTGGTCGCTCTGCCAGCAGAGAGAGAAAATATACCCACGTTTCTCAGAATTAGTGGGATGATTCCCCAACCCCACCCTCTTCCTTAGTCTGTCCCCAGTCCCAGATACTTTCGCATGCAGAACGGTGCATCACTGGCTCTAGGTAACCATCCCCAAGCTAAAATTGCTACTAGGTTTGTTCTCCTGGGTCAATGGAGGAATCATGTACTTGGTAAAGACTCCTGGTTCTTCCCAGACCCTCTCCATTAGGAACTAAAGCTATGGAATGAAAAGGGGATGGGGTAATCCTCCAACCACCAAAACCAAGGTTGTAGGCAAAGAGGGAGGATAGTGTTACTTTGGGGCCAGATGCGAATGGTAGGAGCCTTGTGAAGAGGGAGACAATGAGAAGCTCTCTCTCCCCACCCCCAGTGGATGTTTTTAGAGACTCCACATCTGGTAAGGTCTTAAGAGCTGCTGCAACTAACCCTTTTCACATAGTCCCTGATGATAAAACTGGACTGTGGGAACGGATGAGGGAAGGGGAGGAGTATGGGTGGTGGTGCTGGGATCTAATATAATTTTCCTCAGGGGAAAAAAGTCACTCTTTCTGTCTGATTGCAATAGCACCCCCTGCAGAATTAGGACAGTACAAGAGAGCCAGTAAAGTGAGCACCTGGCAAGAGATTCAGAGATTGGTAAGTCACTCGGAGGATGGGTCCAGAGAGGGAAGAAGGAGACAGAAAGTCACTCAAGGGAGTTCTGAGGCTGCTCAGCAGAGGACACCATTAGTATGACCCATTGGTTGAAGCCTACACTGGGGATACTTTCATTTTAGGAGGTGCAGGAGGGTGCTGCATCTCCTGAGGTTCTAGTGTGTTTTCTGCTCTGCAAGGTCTAAAGGAATCAGACCATGTAACTCCTGCTTCAGCAGCAGCAGGTGTTAATCGTAGACTCTGGTTAGAGCAATCTAACTGTTAATAACAATAGGTGATGTTTATATAGCTTTAAGCTTTGCTGAGCATTTTGGGACCTTGGGGGAGAGAATGTTACCTTGTTTGATTGGTATTATGGTCCTCTTCCTGCATTTTATAGATGGACTAAGTCTCAGAGAGATTAATGGATTTCCTGCACATACTACTAGTAAGTGCTAGAGTCAGGTTTTGAACCTTTCTCCTTTTCAATAAGTTTCCCTCTTTCCCCTGACTTCTGTGCAACAGAGTACATTGTGATTTGGGGGTGGGAGGGTAGGTAAGGTAGTGCTGCAAGGAGTGAAGAAGCTAAAGTGAAGCAAGAAAGGGTTCCCAGGGGTCTCCCCTACTCTCTGCCTTGTCTCCAATGCCTACTTCAGTTAACTATATATGTGTATACATCTATGTATATATACATCTATGTATATAAAATGTGTGTATATATAATATATAGCATATATTATACATGATTTAATACTTATACATCTATATATCATACATATTACATATATAAATTATATATATATGTATACACACAATATACGTATAATATCATCCCCATTAGAATATAAGGTCTAAGAAGGCAGGGATCACTTGTTTCAGCCTTGTATCTCCTTCATTGCCTAGCACAATACTCTGCACACAGTGACTTTTCATTAATGCTTGTATAATAGAATGACCCTGAGTGAGAAATTGGGGTGGAGAGGACATAGATTCACCTAAGTGATATGGCCAAGGGTGGGGAAAGCCCTTTGGAGCCCAGGGCTTTGAAGATGGGATAAAGGATTGCTTCTAAAAGTGATCCAAAGCTTATGGAGTGCTTAAGACTAAGGGTGAGATTCAAGGGGAACCTGGAGAAGACAGGTGATAATATGCACAGAAAGACAGAAGCAGAGGCCTAAAAAGGGGTGATGAGAAGTTGCTGCCCTGAAATTAGGAGAGACCAAATTCCCTCCACCCCATCTCCCATCCTCCCACTCTCCTTCCTCCCACCAAACCCATTCTCCCCATCTCTTAGGGAGATCTACAGTGAGGAGTCTACTGAGGTCACTCCCAGTTACCTTTGGGCAGGGGAGCCATACGGTTAGTCGGAACAGCCTGAGCTGCAAAGGTAAGACAGGTTAACCAGGTTAGTGGCATTGTTTAAGTTCTGGAGGGAGACGAACAGGCCACCGGATCTTGTCTCTTCCTGATTGGGCAGAGCTGTTCTCATGTTGAAGGCCTCAGGGCCCTCATCATCCCTGCAGGGAGGGCTAATGACAGTCTTAAAAGCCTACTTGCACAAAAACCCAGGGAGCTTGGCAGGGATGATCATTAACTCCATTTTACCGATGACGATAGTGAGGCTGAGGGCCCTACCACTATCTCGCTTTTAGTCACCTCCATTAGGATGTGACCGAAGGACCCAGGCTGAGTTGGCAGAAAGACCAATATCAGGAGCTATCCATGAAGAAAACTTGGAAGACAATGCAGTTGGTGACTTCCTTTCCAGGGCAATTTCCCTTCCAGGAAAATGTACCCCATCAGCATAGTTGGATTAGGGTAGATGTGGGAAGGATGGGCAGAGATTGGCTCTATGGGGCTTTAGGAAGTTCTGATTGGAAACAGGGTAGAAATGGGAGGGCAAGGTAAATGGACAAACCCAGAATTTATTCTTTCTTTAATTAAAGGCTGTTTAATAGTTAATCAGCTTAGTTATATACGGTTAGCTGTAAGAGATGGGAAACAAAACAAAACATAACAAAACAAAGCAAGAAAATCCTCCCCACCTTCTCTGTACCAGACAGGCATCACTTAGCTGAGTTCCTGGGGAAGCTAGTTATTTAGCTAAAGGGATCAATATTGGGTTTTGCAGTATCCCTTAAGTGTTCTGAAAGTATTGGTTTCCTTGTTGCTAGATCAAACAGTTCTCATATTTAATTGGACCTTAGTGAACATGGGCATGGCCCTCTGAAGCTGGTCCATGTGTGTGGGTGTATAATAGGGTGAGGGGAAGGGTGGCCAGTGAGTCTAAACACAGGGGCAATTACCTAGCACAGTGAGATAGGCCTTGGCTATATCTCGGTCAAGCTCAGTGCTGGCCATACAAGTGTAGCTTCCTTGGTCCCGGTCGGCCACACCAAAGATGGTGAGGGTGTCCTCTTCCTTCTTCATTCTGAAAAGGAGGAGGGGTAGGAGAGTCACTAGGGAGGGAGGCAAGTAACCAGGCATTGAGGGGCTCATCTGAAGGAGAAAGTCACTTTTTTCTTCCTTCCTGAGAGAGGGAAATAAAAATTAAACTTAAATGCCAATTTTCTTCTAGGTGCTGAGTTCAAATCTCTGAACCTTTTTTTGGAGGGGGGGAAGGGGAAGTATTTTATTTTGTATTTATTTAGTATTTTATTTGAAATTTAATTTTAATTAATTATTAATTATTTTAATTGCTTAAAGTCAAAATAAAAAAAGGAAACCAAGATGGTTTGGGCAGAATGGCCATAACTACCCTGACCTTTACTGTCCCCCAGATCCCACCTTCATTTTCACTTCTTTGTCCGTCATGATGTCCTACACAATGAAATGCCAACCCCCTCCTCCTTCATATTTCCAAACCCAACAGTTTAGGTCCCACTCAAAGGACCACTTTTTCCCCCCATGAAGCTCTTCCCTGGTTAGTTAGGCTCAAACTGCTTTCTCTGAACCCCATAGCCTATATTGTCTTACACTCATCTGCATCTTATCTAGTACTGTTCTCTGCTATGTTTCATGAATGTTAGTCTAACCTCCCCCCACCCCAGCTAGGCTTCCTGGAGGCAGGGAGCCTATTCTATACCAAGCATACAGTAGGCTTGCAATAAATACTTGTTGATTCATCATTGAGAGGCAATGTGGCACAGTGGAACCTGCCAAATTTGGAGTCAGAGGACCTGAATTCTAATCCCAGCTCTGCTATTTAATCCCTGGGTGACTTTGGATAAGTTATTTAACTTTTTGGGGCTGGATTCCATGGTCTCTAAGGCCCCTTCCAATTCTAAAATTATGATCTTATGATCTCAATTCTTCTCACACTTCCAGCCCATGACAAACCTTAAGGATTTTTTTTCCAGGCTTGCATCTCCTCTCAGCCCTGGGTTAGAGTTAGGTCTAGCTCTGAGTTGCATATATAATTACCTCTAGACCTAAGAATATCTACCATTGAAGTCTTTGGGAAAAGGATACTATAGATATTTTAAGGGAATAATTATCATCATCAATTTAGTACCTGCAATGGGCCTGAGTAATACAATAATAAGAGGCCTTGGCACAAAGGAGGATGGTTAGTTGAGGAGGAGAAAGAAACTTACTCCAGGGGGATCTGGGACTGAACAGCTACCAGTAGGAGCCAACAAGAATAACAAAAAACCCTGTAGGGCAGCCTGGCTTGTCATATAACACTCAGTAGTCACTGAGATTCCTGGCCCCAAGATGATCAAGAAAAGAAAAGCTACAATGATAAGTTGAGCTACAGACTCCTGACTATTAAGAAATCTGGATAATTAAACAAACCAAATAACCCAAGGAGGGCTTGAATAGTCATTCTAGATTACTTTGTGGGAGATGACTCAGGTCAACCCTGCCCTCTACTGGAGGGCTGAGACACTGCTAGAGGGTCTGAGAGATGCTAGAAATAGTGGCCCTAGTGAACCATCACATAGTGCTAAGTGATGCTTATGAGGATTGTTGATTCACAGACATGAGACAAAGGAGGAAAGGGAAAAGGAAGATCACAAGAAAAGGAACAGAGAGAAAGAAAATAATGGCAGGAGAGAAGAATACTGGAGAAAAAGAGGGAGAAGCAAGAGAAAGAGGTGAGAGAAATAATGAGGAGAAAAAAGAAGACAAGAAAAAAAAGAATAGAAGGAGACAGGGAAGGGAGAGGGGCAAGACAACAAGGAATGAAGGCTAGAGGAGGAAAAGAGAGGGAAGGGGAAGAGAGAGATCGAAAGAATGAAGAGGGAGAGAGTGAAAGAAGGAGAGGAGACAGTGGTTCATAGTGAGGCACAATAAAATCTAACAAAATTTATTCTATGGGCCCCTCAATGAAATCAGTGACTCTAGATGCCTATCACTGGGTTACATACCATGTGTTCCCCAACAGAAACCTCAACACTCCAATGATCCTTGATTTTATCAGGGGAAGGCAGGAGTTAATATTTCCTTCCCCATTGGAGATAGTAACCAGTCTATACCTTAGTAAATGGCCCAACCTTTTGCTTATGAGTATCTCTGAACTTAGTTAGGCTGACCCTCAGGTAACAGATACTGAAGGCTGTCGCTCGACCTACAGTTGAAGACTTTCCAGCATGGTCAAACCTGCTAGAGTTTGTATTCTGCTGGCATATCCTTGGAGAACCTATGACGAAGCCTTAGAGTAGGAATTTAGAGTGTAAAGTCGGGTGGGGAGAAGGCCACCCAATCTGGCCCAAGAGGCAGGAGGGAGGAATGGGGGACCTGTTTCCAATGTAGAGCGGCTCATCATCCTTCAGCCAGTTGACTGTAAGCTTCAGGGTGGGGTCATGCTTCACTCGACACTCCAACACGACGTTTGAACCTCTCTTGACCACCTGGTCCTCAGGCACCCGAATTATCCGGGTGGGGTCTGTGGGGAAGTACAAGAAGCCCATTGGCCCACCATCCTCAGGATCACAAACTGCCCTAAAGCCTCACACCTGTCACATAGGTTGGAAGAAATCAAATTTAGCCAACTCTAGATGTCTGTATTAATGAAGGGGAATCAAAGTATTGTCCAGAATAGTGGACAATCCAAAAATTATTTATATTTGGCTTTTTCTCCTTTTTTTTGAGGATCAATTGGGAATAGTAGATTTTTCTTCCTAATTCTATTTGGTCTACAATAACATTATGAGTCCGCATTCCTGGAACCCATACAATCAGCTGAGGGAGGGAGCTCAGATTTGTTTCAGGGTGGGGGAAGGTGGCCTGGGATTAAACACTTGCAACAAGGAATCCTCAAGCAGATCATCCATACATGGGCACTGGAGAGCCAGTAGCTATATCTCCAATTTGGCCTTGATTCAATTCAACAAGCATTTATTCAGTATCTACTATTTGCCAGGCACTGTTCTAGGTGCTCAAAATAAAACAAAAATGAAACTGTCCCTGCCCTCAAGAAACTTACACCTTATTGGGGGAGATAACACGTACAAATATAAGTATAAAATACATGCAAAGCCATTTCCCAGGGAGGGCACCAGCACCTGGAGGATGGGGTGGGGATCAGAGTAGGCTTCCTAAAGCTTCTACAGTCCAGGAGGTGGACTTGATCAGAACTATGAAGGAAGCTGGGAATTCTGAGGCAGAAGTAAGGATGGAGTTTGCATGTCTCCTAGGCATGGGAGACAAGCAAAGGCATGACATAGGAGATGGAATGTCATGTTCAAGGAGTGGTAAATAGGTCAGTGTGTCTGGGATGTCAAGTGCACAGAGCAGAAACTGTTTAATAAGCCTGGAAAAGTAGGCTGGAGCAAGATAGTTAAAGTCTTTAAAAGGCAAACAGTGTTTGCATGTTATCCTAGAGGTAAGAGAAAACCATAGAGATTTGTGAGTGACATGGGAAGGCCAAATTTTGGGACTATTATTTTGGCGGCTGTGTGGAGGATTGATTGGAGAAGGGAGAAATTAAAGGCAGGATGTATAATTAGGAGACTATTGTAATGGTCTAGGGGAGAGGTGATGAAGGTCTGAATTAGGGTGATAGCTGGGTGAGTAGAGAGAAGGGGACAGATATGGGATATATTGGAGAGATAAAACTGTCAGGACTTGGCAACTGATTAAATGTGAGAGGTGAGGGAGGGAGAGGAAGATCTGAGGATGATTGTGAGCTTGCAAACTCAGGTGACTTGGATAGTGGTACACTTAATAGCAATAGGGAAATCTGGAAGAAGGGATGGTTTCTGGGTAAAGATAATGAGTTCTATTTTGGAAATGTTGAGTTTGAGATGCCTATGGGACATCCAGTTAGAGATGCTCAAAGAGTAGTCAGTGATATGGGACTGGAGGTGGCAGCTGAATCCATGGGATTTGATGAGTTTGCCAAGATAGTGTGGAGAGAGGGCTCAGGACAAATCCCTGGGGTCCATTCATCAATAGGGGGTGGGGAAGGTTGATGTTCCCCAGGAACACTTAACATAGACACAGTCTTCCCATCTGACTCTACCTTTGACCTCCAGGCGGACTTGGTTCTCTGCTTTGCCCAGGATGTTGGTGGCCACACAAGTATAGATGCCCTGGTCTTCTTTTCGGGCCATGGCCATTTCCAAGCTGCCATTCTCATGGACTTGGTAGTTGCCACCATCCAGGTTGCTCCCCTGCCCATTCTTAAACCTCGCAACACAGCAAAAGAGACCACAGCATAATGAGGCAGGAGGTGGAAAGGGCAGCTAGGGATGGGGAAGGGAGAAACACGTAACCAGCCCACAGGGGAAGCATCATGGTACAATAGAAAGAACAGAGAGAGGGCAGCTGGGAGTCAAGAGACCTGACTCTCGTCCTGCTTTTGTCACTAACTCACTGTGTGATCTTGAGCAAATTATTTCCCTTCTCTGGGTCTCAGCTTTCTCTTCTGTACAACAAAATCAGATGGTCACTAAGACTTTTACAGCTCTAAAATTCAATGTTTTTTTTTTTATTAATTTTCAATATTTGCTCAGGGCTTACTCTAGTCCCGTGTAAGGCATTGTGGGTTACAAAGGAGACAGACATGGCAGTCACTGCCCAAAGAAGGTGGGGCCAGGCATGACCAGAGCTTACCATCGGAGGGTGGGGATTGGGGACCCAAAGAAAGGACAATCCAGCCGAGTCCGGTTGTAATGGATCACCTTGATGAGTTGGTTCCGAGGGGACAACATCCGAGGGGGCACATCTGAAACCCATAGCATACCTGTTTGAGACTGCTGTGGCAACTGGCTTCTTCCTTCTTGGACCCTTTTTAGGAGGGGTGGGGGGACAATCCTTGATCTTGGACCAACCTCCTATCTCCCACGTACACATGTACCTTCTTCCATCAATTTCACTAACTCTAAGGAGCCTTTCAGGATTGGGGGACAATGGGATAGGGTATTGTCATGGTATTAGATCCAACTTTCCAAAATTAGAAACAGAGACTTGACCTATGATTTCATTGGTATAGAGAACTCCCAGGTGAGGGAACTCCCTCCACCAATGCAGGTTAGTATTTCTCTATTAGTCATGGTTGAGGTAAGGTGACTTGCCAAGGATCACAAAGCAAGTACGTGTCAGGAGTGAAACTGGAAACCGAGTCTTCTTGGTTTCAAGGCCATCTCTCCATTCATTGCCTCTGCTTTTCCAAAATTATTCAGTACTAAATACTGGTTGAAATACCCCCTGCACATTTTTTCTGAAGTCCATGAACCCTTCCAGCTATGTCTCCCTTTCCTCCTCTCACCCCTTTCACTTTCTGCAGTGATTACAGAAAATACATTCAGAGTCATTCCCCAAACCTGGGCTCTGACACCAATACCCAGATCAAGAGATACAATGCACAAAGACTTAAGATGGCAAGATACGTCTACTACCCCATATTCGTAAGGATGGATAGCAGACCAATGCTTATTTTCATGGCTGAAGTAACTCCACATCCATCTGTCTACTCAAATTTCCCTTTAGCAGGAGTGCAGAATTCTCTCCCTGACCTAGAAAAGTCTCACATAGAGTCCTACGTTCATCTCTGCTCCAACCCAATCACCAAATAGCCTGGAACTATGCTGATCTGATTCCCTCCTCTTAGAAGACAAGGGACTATCTTTTTCTCTTCTATGAAATAACTAAGCACAAAGGTGATTTCACTGTAACCGTAACTGAGGACAAGAAGAAAAGAGAAAGGAGGTTGGCTCATCCAATGCTTCTATCTCAACAATATCACCTTCTTTCCCCGCTGCCCACACATGCTTCCAGGCACTAAGTCACCCTTTGTATGCTCACCCAGAACACTGACGAAGGCATTGGCTAGAAGGTAACCGTGATCGTTGGATGCGTTACATTGGTACACTGCGCTGCTGCCAATCTGAGTGTCCCGGAATATGATGGTGTCTCCAGCTACCTCACGGCTTGGGTTGGGAGGTGCCACTAGGGATGAAGAAAGGAAGTTCCCATTAAGGAATAGCTGATAATGTTGGGGACCATGGGTTTGCCTGTCAGGGCCCCATGGCATGGGGACCTCTGTGGTGTGGTGGAAAGAGCACTAGGTTGGGAATCAGGACACCCAGGTCCTGGTCCTGATTCTGCTAACCCTCTTTGATCTTGGGGACATCACCGCTCCAATCCAAGCTTTAGTTCCTTAATTTGTCAAGTGAGAATAACGATCCAAATTCAACCTCTCTTAGGTGATTGTAAGAAGCTGGCGAGATAATGTAACTTTAAAAGTATGAAAAGTGACCAAGGTAAACAAAATGGAGACAGTGTGCAGAGTACAAAAATGGATCTGGAGACCAAGGAGACAGGTTCAAATCCTGCCTCTGACACTAGCTAGCTGTAGGGCCACTGGCAAGTGACACTGCCTTCATGGTCTCAGTTTCCTCATCTGGAAAACGAGGAAGTTGGATCAGAAGGCTTTTGAGATCCCTTCCAGTTCTAAGTTTATGATTCTATTAGTAGACTGGTGAAGAGACAAGAGCTCCAGGTTACTCAGGATGTTTTCAGAGTATTTAGTCTTATACTGAAAGGAAGTATGATTTAGAGGCTAGAATGTTAGATTTTGAACTAGGAGCCCTGAACTCAAGTCTCACTTCAGACACACCTAGTAATGTGATTTTGGACAGGTCATTCAGAATATCAGTCTGTTGTTTTTTTTCTTTAAATCTATAAAGTGGAGATACTACTCATTTGTTGTTGTTCAGTTGTTTCAGTTGTGTCTGACTCTTTGTTACCTCATTTGGAGTTTTCCTGGCAAAGCTTCTGGAGTGGTTTGCCATTTACTTCTCCAGTTCATTTTACAGATGAGGAAACTGAGGCAAACAAGATTAAGTGACTTGTCCAGGGTCACACAGCTAGTAAGTTTCTGAGGCCAGATTTGAACTCAAGATGAGTCTTCCTGACTCCAGGCCAGGCACTCTATCCAATGTGTTGTCCAGCTGCCCAACTATCTCATAGGGTTGTGAGAAAAGCATTCTGCTGACCTTAAGGCATTATATAAATGTGGGCCGTTACCATTATGATTGTTCTTCACCTCATTCTTCTCATTATTGTGGCTGGAGCACATAACAGAAATGGTCCAGGGAAAAGTTGCTCTCCTGCACTGACTATTATTATTTCGTTTTTCTCATCTCCTTTGATGGAGCTCAGACAGAAGCAGCCCTGGGATAGATCGTCTTCCTGCTGATTTTCTTTCATATTCAATGTTCTATGGACCACTGCCCACGTGGAGAAAATAACTGCTTTTTGTAGCTGAATAAAAGTATTGGGATAACAGCTTCTGTTCTGTAGGCTCATGGAAAGCATCTGGGAGACAACTGCAGTAGCAGACAGGACGTATCTCCATCTGCTCCCCCAGGATTTTGATTTCACCCCCTTTATATTTTAATATAAAGCCCTGGACTCTAGTTCAAAGCCCAACACCCCTTTATATTTGAAATATCTTCTTTTCACATAGCTTGGACCCTGAGGATTTGGTATTGACATGGGCAGTGGCATTGAATAATAATAACAGTAGTTAGCGTTTATATAGCATGTGGGCTTACAAATCGCTTTATATGTGTTATCTCAGGGGATCCTCACAAAACCCTGGGAAGTAGGCACTATTATTATTCTCAATTGATTCATGAGGAAATGGAGGAAACATCTATTAAACAGGCTGTTCTTCAGTTTTCATGTATCAATGATATATGCAGGAGATTGTGGGCACCAGTTGGGTCTGTGATCATGCTCCAGTTTTAGTACAGTTTATTGGTTGAGCCCACAAGAGTATTTTTTTTTCAACATTTTTAAGATTTTGAGTTTCAGATTTTTTTTCTTCCTCCTTCCCTTCCCCCCTCCCCAAGATGGCATGCAATCTGATATAGGCTATACATGTACAATCGTATATTAAACATATTTTCACATAAGTGATGTGTCCACAAGAGTATTTTGAGGTCTGTATTTGTAGTATGGGGGTTTGCCACATATTGGTTCATGAAAGACAGTAGTGACCTTCTAATGCATAATTCTAGCTAGCAGGTCATGTCTTGGTAGGTATTGGGTGCTAAATTTGTATCGCCTGCTGGGATGCATCCCACAGCTTCTTCCTACACTTTCTCTCGTTAGCTGCATTGATCATGAATTCATGGTAGATAGAGCACTGGAGTTAGGAAGACTTTAATTCAAATCTGGCCTTAGACTCTTACTAACTGTGTGATCCTAGGGAGATCACTTAATCTGTCTGCCTCAGTTTCCTCATCTTAAAATGGGAATCATAATAGCATCTATCTCCCTAGGTTGTTTTGAGAATCAATTGAGATAATATCTCTAAAATGCTATGGAAACCTTGAAGTGTTACATGTTTAGTCATTTTTAGTTGTGTCCAATTCTTTGTGACCCCATTTGGCGTTTTCTTGGCAAAGAAATTGGAGAGGGTTGCCATTTCCTTCTCAAGCTCATTTTACAGATGAGGAAACTGAGGCAAACAGGAGTAAGTGATTTGTCTAGGGTCACATAGCTAGTAAGTGTCTGAGACCAGATTTGAGCTCAGGGAGATGAGTCTTCCAGAATTCAGGCCCAGTACTCTGTCCACTACACCACCTAGCTGCCCCAAAGTGTTATATAAATGATAGTATTACTAGAATGATGATAATCATGATTAAATCTGGGCTCCTTAAGAACAACCCTTTTGGGATAACAAAATTTAAGATTCCATAGTCTTTGAGTAACCCTGAGCACATGGGGTTTCATCAGTTATGTGCCACATTAGCAGGTTTTCGTAAACGTGTGTCTACTCTTCCCAATAGATACTGAGTGCGTTGATGGAAGAGTGTGACATGTTTATGTGTGGATTGTGGCGTATTTATTATTTATACATTTGCTGTAATATAGGAATGCCTGTGGTGATATTTCTTTTGCCCTGCTGTTAAGTAAATGGTTATGTTTAAGAAAAAAGAATAACTCTTTTGTGACTTCTTATTATGCCATCTACCCACTTTGTTCTATAGAAAAGCAGCAGTGTGGAGTGGGTGGGAGTAAAGAGCCCTGGGGCTTAGCTATATCCCTCACTATATTACCTTATTACAAGTCTCTTAATTTCTCATTTCCTTCAACTATAAAAATGGAGAGAATCAACCCTCTCTTTTAGGGATTCTGTGAAGAGAGAATGGGGTACTCATTTCAGAAATAAAAGTCCTATAGAAACTTTTGGGATTGTTGCTATTTTTTTAAAATTATGTTTTAGCATTTATGAGGTGGCTTGTCTCTCATAATGACCTAGAGTTAACCCTCCCAGCCACTCATAAGCCTTTCAAGCAGAAAAATTCAGTTACTGGATGCCTTGGTGCTTGGGATCAGATAACTTGCCTAGGATTTGTTACAGACCTGGACGGAAGCAAAGCTGTGTGCAGGGACCCAGGAGTCTGGCCTCCCAGGCGCCGCTCCCCGGACAGCTATTCTGAACTCAGAGACTGGAGAATCAGCCAAAGCTGAATTCAGACCAGGTCAGCATTCCCCTCCCCTTCCCTCCCATCCCTAGCCATAAAATAGGCTCCAGTGCCATCCACTCCTTGCCTGCCAGCTCTAGAAGGTCCATAGAACTGATCTCCCCTCTTATCAATCTCCCCTAAGTGCTCAGAGCCATCTGCTTCCTCAGTGAGAGTAGCAGGTGACGTTTCTAAGGCTGACCCTTCATCACAGGTCCTGGGTGTTAGATTTATTTATCAGCAAAGCAGAGGGCTAGAGATATTTGCTGCCTTCAACACCATAACGCCATGAGGATGCAGGAAACTGGAGAGAGGGGGGCATTTTCCATTTTGCTGATGGCTACGGCTCTTTTTTTGATCTAGACTCCAGCATAGTGCTCTGAAGTTTGAATGTGGCTCCTGTAGCAAAAAGAACTTGTTCATTTAGTAGAGCTATTTTCATAGGCCCCTTGCTCAGAGAAAACAAACAAAGATCTCTGTCAGGAAATGCTACGGCACCATGGCATCTAGCTGTGAGGGACCCTGAAGGCCATCTGGCACACTGGACTTGTAATTAGGAAGGCCAGAGTTCATTCGAATTATGTCTCAGACACTGTGTTACCTTGCGCAAGTCACTTAAACCCCTCCGTCCCTCAGTTTCCTCATTTTACAAACGAGGAGATCCTTTCCCAGGATGATTTCAATCAACTCTTCCTGGGAGGTTCCTCCTTAAATTCAACCCTAAAACTAGGGTTCGTGACCTGGGGTCTGTGAGCTTTTTAAAAAAATATATTTTAATAACTATATTTTCATATAATTGTTTTCCTCTGTAATCCTATTTATTTTATTCAGTTAAAAAGAAGTCTATAGGCTTCACCAGACCACCAAAGGGGTCCATGACACAAAAAAGGTCAAGAACCCCCGCCTAAGAAATCCTTTGTGGTGCAGGATAACATTTCCTCTCTTATTCTGCCCTCAGGAAAAAGGGAGAACAGTTGCTCACTCTCTCCAACATATATGTGGAAGAAATGGAATTTCTTGGTCAACTTTAGGGGAAAACTGGCAATGGATATGTTTTTAAAAGTCTCTTTTAGGTTTAATTTAGCTATAGGGGCCTCATCACATGCGTCTATGTGTGTGCGTGTGCGTGTATGTGTGTGTGTGTGTGTGTGTGTGTGTGGTAGTAGGTGATAGCAAACACTGCCAGGAGCCTGTCTAGTATGAATATGTCTCACTGATTAGATAAAGATGACCAGGAAGTGAATGGGGCATCTGGGGCCACTCTGGCCTGGGGAAAGGAAGTCTGTTTGGCAGCCTTTGAGTTTCTGATTAAATTCTTTTAGATGCCATGTGCTGGGGGTAGGGGCAGGGTGTGACAGTACTAAATGTAGCTAAAATTCAATCTATCAATCAGCATTTATTAAATGTCTAATATGCGTCAGACACCGTGTTAGGCCCTGCCCTCAAAGAACCTACATTTTTTGGGGGGAGGGGGAAATATGTACATATATTAGAATATACAAATGGATACAAGGGAATATGGGGCAGGGAGGACTTTAGCAGCTGGGGAGATTAGGTTTCATATAGGAGGGTATGCTTGATCTGAATCTTGAAGGAAACTAGGGATTCTAAGAAGCAGAGGTCAGAAAGGAGTACACTTCAGGCAGGTGGAACCTCCAGTGCAAAGACAAGGAGATGGAAAATGGAGTATTGTGTATGCGGTACATTTCCAACCATGGTCAACCAGCCTTGGCTTGAAGACTTCTGGTGAGGAGGGATACCCTATCTCTAAACAGAGGGCATGATATTTTTGGTTCAAATTCTCTGGTTAGGGACAGAGGGGAAGGCGACTGGGGAATGGGACAAGTATACTTGTTAGGAAACTTTTCTTTAAATCAAGCTGAGATCTACCTCTGCAACCTTTACCCACCATTCCTAGTTCTGGACTCCTGGGGCCAAGCATTACAAATCTAATCCCTCTTCTATATGACAAATCTTCAAACAGCTGTAGACGGCTATCATGTTCCCCTGAAGTCTGCTCTTTCCCAGACTAAACAGGTTAAACCCAGTTCCTTCAAAAGATTCTCCTATGGCGTAGTCTTCCATCCCCTCAATATCCTGGTGGTTCTCCTCTTTGACTTGTCAAAGTCCTCCTTATATAATGTGGTGTCTAGAACTGAGCACAATATTACAGATATGGTCTGACGAGGGCAAAATATAGTTCTTCTGAACAGTAGGCGGGGAGAGACATCATGTCACCTTACCTTCCAAAGGATCCCCGTTCACCAGCCATTGGACAGTGGGCTTGGGGTTTCCATTGGCCCGACACACCAGCCTCCCATCTTCACCTGGGGCCAGGATAAGGTTCTTGGGTTCATCTAGCCAATAGGGGGCGGCTGGAAGACAAGGACAGCCATAGGCCAGACAGTCAGATGGGATGG